GCCCCGCTCCCCCCGCCCCAGCCCGGCCCGCAGGGTGGTGACCGCTCTGCGTCCGGCGCGGCTCCAGGTAGCCGACGCACGGTGCCCCTGCGCCCCGAGGGCGTCACGGCGGCTCACCTGTCCTGGGGGCGGAGCCGCTGGCCGGGGAGGAGGCGGGGGTGCGTCCCCTCCCCGGCTGTGGGTACAGGACACGCCCCGCCCAGGGGTCTTCCCCACCCGACCCTCAGAAGGACGTCACGAGGGGCCCAGGGGCCAGTGCGGTCCGCGGGCGCCTGCGCAGTCCTGGGGGTCCCCAAGGGAGCGACACTGGGGCGCAGGCCTGGGCGGGGCGCGCTGAAGACCGGGTGGGCACCGAGGCGGAGACGTCCCGTGGCAGGGGCGGGCATGCGGGCGCCTGAGACCAGGAGGAATAAACTCTGATTTACCTGTTTTTAAAGGACCCTTTGTGGAGAGTGAACCGTGGGCGAACCGCGGGGAACTCGAATCCCCAGGGACGCTGGTCTGGGAGGGCGGAGGCGCCCCTTGCCCAGAGACTGGTTCGACGGGGTGGGTGAAGCGGGGAGTCAAGGCGGGGAGGGTTTTCTCCACATCTGCTGGCAGAGGGGTGGCCAGAAGACTGGCCTAGGTACGGATCGTTTTGGGAATGGGCGAGGTGACACACCGAATCTGAGATTCCCATGAGACACCCAAGGACTACCCACTTCCGTGCGTGAGTCTGGCGGGGGTGGGGGCGGTGTCAAAGGGCTGCTGAAACTGTTTTGCTTTTTGTTTTTTTTCTTTTTTAGAGATGGGGTCTTGCTCTGCCACCTCGGCTGGAGTGCAGTGGCGTCAACACAGCTCACTGCAGCCTCCAACTCCTGGGCTCAGTGATCCTTCTGCCTCAGCCTCCCCAGTAGATGGGACTACAGGCATCCAGCACCATGCCCAGCTAGTTTTTCTGTTTTTTTGTAGAGACGGGGTCTCGCTGTTGCTCAGGCTGGTCTTCAACTCCGGGGTTCAAGCGATCCTCCCTCCTCAGCCTCCCAAAGTGCTGGGATTACAGGCCTGAGCCTCCTGGCTTGGCCGGGACTGAATTTTGATAACTCTGGTTTGTAGATGGTAAGTGAGGTCAGGGCCCTGGACATCACAGTTTGGAATGTAAGATGCAGAATCTGTCCCTCTCCAGCAAAAGGAGAGGGCTCACAGGCTGGGGAGAGGCAGGGGAGACCAGGCAGTCCTAGAGCCCATGGGGTGCTGCGCTGCCAGGACCCAAAGCTGCAGGCCCACCTGTCTCCCGTAGGGTGCCTATTCCAGGAGAGAGGGTCTAGTTGGCCACACTGCAGACACTTTCCTGCCAAGGCTGTGCAATGGGGGAATTCTCGGTTTGTGGGTGGTTCCCACATGTCCATAATAAAAGTCAGGAAGAAAGTGTTTCAGGAAGGAGGGAGAGATAGAGTACAGTATGAGGCCAGAAAATGGGTGGTCCTTATTCAGGTCGGCCACGATCTAATCCCAAAGGGCTCTGCTCATCCTTCATTCTGAGCCGTCTCCCACCCAGCCCCTGTTCTAGAACTCGCAGCTGTGCCCTCTGGTATCCTGTCTCCTTCGGGTGCAGAGGTTTCTTTTCACACAACCGCTGTACCTCTGGGTCTGGAGGTGGGGCCGGTGCCCTGCCTGCTCCCTGTTACCACTTCCAAACCATTCTCCACCCTAAAAACTACCAGCTTTAAATCTCATGTTCTCTGAAAAATAATCCACCACCTCGCCCGTTGCTGTCATGTCGTGGCGATTTTAGCTCCTGACTCACCACCGTTTTCTCCGATTCCACCCTGGCGGGAATTTTTAGTGACTTTAGGATCCACACAGGTGACCCTTCCAACCTGCTGGCCTCTATCTTAAAATGTACAGGGATTGTCTGAATCAGGTATGGAAAGGTGACAGACTCAGAGACAAGTGCCTTAAAATAAGAGTTGAGTTCATTCAGGGTTCCCCGGAGTGGGGGGTGGGGCACAGGGCCACAGGGAAGGTATGGCCCAGCACTTTTACTGTGTTTTCCACGGAAAAAAATGGCAAGGCAGAGTAGGCACGTTTGAGCAAGTTTAGGATTGGATCGTTTGAATTTCAGCAGGTTCCGGGCTCTATCAGTGGTCTCCAGCTGTCTGGACCCTTGCCCCGAGGTGATTTAGGGCAGGGGAAGCGCTGGCTCAGTGTGTGGAAGTCGGGGATGAGGGCTCTGGGTTGCTCGGTTTGTATACGAAAGGCATGCCCACAGGCAAGTTGTTTGCCATCTCCAGCAATGAGCCAGCCCTGGAAGGGGCAGTCTGTCCCCAATTAGCAAAACCGCCAAGATGTCAAATCATAAAATACATAAAATAAAAAACATGATTAAGACAGCCTCTCAGTCTCATGAGTCCTCTCCTCCAAAAGCCCTCTCTGCCTGCCTGGCTTCAGCTCTCTCCTAGGGCTCAGCAGTTTGCCTTCGAAGATGTCAGCCAACAGTTCCTTTCATTCCTTTGCATTCACCCTACCCTACTCCTCCCATGGGAAGGTGGGTTCCATCCCCTCCCCTCGAATCTGGGCTGGGCACGAGACTTGCTTTAAACTGGGAGAATTGCAATGAAAGATATGCAGTGCCAGTTCCAGACCTTTCCCTGAGGAGGCCGGACAGCTTATGTTTTTGTTCTCTTGGAGTCCCGAGGTGCCAGGTCACCCTGCTAGAGACATCACCGGGAGAGCAAGAGGATGCCCAGATATGCGAGCGAAGCCATCTCGGATTTCCAGCCTCAGCCATGCCCCCAGATGACTACAGCTGTATGAGTGACTCCAGCAGCTTCAGTTCTCTATTGCTGCATAACAAACCACCACCCCAATTTATTATTTATTCTGAAAACTGGGCTGGACAGGGTTGGGGAGTTCTGATGCTCTGTGTAGTATCTGCTATTTACTGACACGTCTGCTCCTCCAGCTGGGGTGGCTGGGATACTTGCAGGCTGGTCAGGCATCTCTTTCTTCCAGGTGGCCTTTCCACATGGCTAGCTTGGGGGTGCACACAGCAGGATAGCCTCAGGATAGTGAGAATGATCACCTGGTGGCTGGTCCCCGAGAGAGGAAGCTAAGGGTGCCAGTCCTAAGGCGAGGCTCAGACATCTCAGAACTTTCTACCACATTAATTGAATCAAAACAGTCACAGGACCAGTATGAGTAGAGCAATACAAATTTACAGGAAGGGAAGAAATTGATGGTGACAGTTTGAGACAACCTACCACACCAGCCAACAACAGCAGAACCAACCAGCTGAGCCCAACCTAGACCACAGAATCATGACTAAATAAATAGTTGTTTTAAGTCACTAAGTTTTGGAGTGGTTCATTGTGCAGCAATGGATAAGCGGAACAGAAATTGATACTTAGAAGTAAGATACTGCTATGACAAAAATTTTAAATATGGCATTTACTTTGGAACCAGGTAGCAGGAGGAGGCTGGAAGGGCAATGAGAAAACTGCTATTGGAGAAAGTGTGGACTGTTTATGTTTTGGCAAGACCATTGCCTGTTGTAATATGGAAGACAGAAAACAGAATCTATGATCTGACTTTTCTGACAAAAAGTTTAAAGGGCCAATTGGCTCCTCTCAGTTATTAATGATAAGGTGAAAGTAAAAAGAGAAAGATGAACTCTGGGAGGCGGAGGCAGGAGCATCTCTTGAGACCAGGAGTTTGAGAGCAGCCTGGGCAAGATAGTGAGACCTTGTCTCTAAAAAAATTTTTTAAAAGAAAGAAAGAAAGAAAAAAGAAGAAGAAACTGTCTTGTATTCAAGCAGAAGTTAGAGAAAATATTTCCAATCAGATTTTGTTTTTGTTTTCCAGAGAGAGTCTTGCTTTGTCGCACAGGCTAGAGTGCAGTGGTGTTAGCCTAGCTCACAGAACCTCAAACTCCTGGGCTTAAGTGATCCTGTCTTAGCCTTCCAAGTTAGCTAGGACTACAGGTGTGTGCCATAACTCCCAGCTAATTTTTTTTATTTTCAGTAGAGACAGGGTCTCACTCTTGCTCAGTCTGGTCTCGAACTCCTGAACTCAAGTGATCCTCCTGCCTCGGACTCCCAGAGTACTAGGATTATAGGCATGAGCCACCATGCCTGGCTTCCAATCAGGTTTTACTGCATTGGAAAATAAAACTTTTTCTCATTCCCAGCCTTTGCCTGCAGCACAAGGCTCTCGAGGTAAGAAATGGAGTCAGGATGAAGACCAAACCCAGGATACTGCCAGTGAAACATGACCTTAGGGTTCAAAGCAATCCAAGGCTATG